TCTTCGTAGCGAAGAAATTCGCATCGAATCGAATTTCATACTGGAATTCGCCGAATCAGCCGAATCGAATTTTTCAATACTTCGCTCATCTCTAGCTATATTGTTTATAAATGTATTAAAAAGTAAGGGTCCCAACACTGAACCTTGGGGTACACCACTGATGACCCTAGACCATTCAGAGTATTAATCATTAACCACTAACCACTGTGACACTAAATGAAAGGAAAAACTCTCTGCAGGAGCCCCGTATAGAAGTAAACCCAACAGTTCTAGCCCTTCCCTGTTTCCCACTCTGAAAAAAAAAAAACGTTTTGATATACATTCATTTTGTAATTATAGTGGTTAGTTTAGGTCAGCAGTTCCTAAATGGCAGATCGCGGTCTGACAACAGCCCCAGCAGTGCTCCCTTCTGGACCTCCAGCCTGCAATGACAGATCTGCCACTGAGCAGGGTGGTCATCATGGCAACATGACATCACATGACATCACTGCCCCTTGCAGCTCACTGTCTCTCCAGCTCCCATGCTCTGCCTGTACACAAGGATCCCGGTGCAGCTCCTGTCTGCCCTCAAGGTAGGGTGTAGTCTTACAGAGGTACTCCGATGGGCACATTTAATGTAAAGGTGTACTCTGATGGGCACATACATAGAATGTGACCATCAGAGTGCCCCTTAACATAGAATGTGCCCATCAGAGTGCCCCTTAACATAGAATGTGCCCATCAGAGTGCCCCTTAACATAGAATGTGCCCATCAGAGCCTTAACATAAAATGTACCCAATCAGAGTACCCCTTAACATAAAATGTGCCATCAGCATGCCCCTTTTTTATGTTAAGGTGCACTCTGATGAGCCCATATTTTGTTCAGGGGGCACTCTGATGGGCACATGTTATATTAAGGGGGCACAAATGGGCACATGTTATGTTAAGGGGGGCACAAATGGGCACATACTGTGGAAAGGGGCACTCTGATGGGCACAAATGATGGAAAGGGGCAGTCTGGCACATTTGATGGAAAGGCCACTCTGATGGGGAATATGATGTAAAGGGGCACTCTTATCGGGAAATATGATTGAAAGGGGTACTTTGAGTGTAAGGGGGCACTCTGATGGGACTGCCTGATGTAAGGTGGCACCGTGATGGGGATACCTGATGTAAAGGGGCACTCTGATGGAGACAACTGATGTAAAGGAGCACTCTGATGGGCACACCTTATGTGTTGGCAGTACATGATGTAATGTTGCAATCTAATGGCAACACCTAATGTAAGGGGGCACATTGATAGGCACACTCTATTCAGACCTCGGCCAGAAAAAATTTTTTAATGACCTGACCTCCTTGAATATTAATTCAATACCCCTGGTTTAAGTGTTTGGATTAAGAAGGTTTAAAAGCATAGGACTAATGTTAGGGGTTAAATGCTAGGGAAGGGGTTCAGTGTTGCAGGCTGTTTTAGGGGATAGTCAAGCATTCTGTAAGGAGAGAGTAAATATTTGAAGGGTTCTTTAGTACAGAGAATAAAGTGTTTGGCAGCTGCACTATTCACACTGGTTTCCAGCAACGCAATATCTTGGCAAAAAATCAATCAGGTTTTGTCATCCTATGGAGCAGCTCTGTGGACTCATCACCTTCCTACCTCTTTTCTTGTTACAAACCACATTACAACATTGTCATAAGTTCATAACATGTGTTTTATATATAAGAAACAATTTCAGTTAGGGCCCTTTCACACTGGTGCGATTAAAAACATGGTATGCATTGTTTAACATAACATGCTTTTAACATGTTTTAATGTGAATTTCCTGTGTTTTCTGGTTCCCTGACTCAAAGTATGCACCTGTAAAACATGAATGTGTGACTCAAAAATCATCCCAAAAACATTTTTAATGTACTTTTGATGCATTCCCATTGACCTACAATGGAAGTTGTGTTTTTGGTAAGCTTTTGAAAAACTGTACCAAAAGATTCAACATGCAACACACCTGCAGTGCAGTGGTGTGAACAGTTTTCATGTGCTTATGTCATGCTGGAAAAGTGCGTTTTAGCACAGCAAAAGCACACCAGTGTGAAATGGGTCTTATACATTGGATTATTTTTTTAACCTACCTGAGCCCATCACAATACTACTTTTGCTGGGGTTCACAACTTCGCCACTGTTATGGTCAGGGGTCAGGCTCAGAGACCAGTAGCTATAACAGTAGAAAGGCTCCCACAGACTAGATGGATAAGTACCAGGGGCGGACTGACCATTTGGAAACTCGGGCACTGCCCGAGGGCCTGGGGTCAGTAGGGGGCCCCATGAGATGCCCCTGGTACCTTTTGCATAGGCTTTTTTGAGTTTTTTGAGCCCCATGATTCCTTATTGTCCGTGGGCCCCATGAGTTGTCAGTCCGCCCCTGATAAGTACATAAGCAGGTCACCCTAGCGGATGACATGGGCTCACCCAAGGTGCGGGGTCTAAGCACTAATGGCCATTCACCAGAGCTCCTTATAGTGGAGATGTAGTGGTTTTGTTGCATGTTAGTACCAAGTCGTGGTCCTCAGGATTACCCCACCATGAAGTCAGAAAGCAAATATATAATGTAGGGATCCATCGGAAGTGTAGTCTAGCAACAAGCTAAATGTCAGTAACAACTGGTAGTGGAAATAATGACAACTGCAGGAACACAATGGAACAATATATTGGCTGGAGAGAACACAATAATCTGGCAAAGAGGAAGTGCAAAGGCATGGATTAAATAGGAATTCATGGGAGGAACATAGAATTCAAGTTCACCAGAAACAAGGTACAAGGCAATATTATCTATGAGTTCAGACAGGATGTGGTTCAGCAAGGAGGCATATTGCCAGAACAAACAGAGGCTGTGGGTTCAAATCCCACTCCTTTTTTTCATAGGAAAGGTGCTAAAATGTTGGGAAATCTCTGTACAGTAATAAATGCTCATCCTTTCTCTTCCATTTGAACTAAGATATGTATGACCACCCTTAGTACTAGTGTGGGGTCTCGCAATGGAAATTCTTAGTAGAAAGAAAACCAAGCAGCATATCTAAATTGGAAGTGCCAAAGTACAAGTGTACATGTTCATTAGCAGAAAATTTTGTTAACTGCAGATAAAGACATCATGCCATTAACTTAAAATGAAGTTTCCAGCTAAGTAACAATTCTCTTCTCACACCTGACTCTGGGGTTGGCAAACTCTTAAATGATAACAGATGCTTGCTTAAGTGAGCTGTAAAAAAACACGTTTTTATTGTAAACGAACACAGCTACTTTTTTTTTTTGGGCGGAAGATTTATCAAAATTAATGAAAGTAAGAGTTACATTATGTTCAGGAAAATGCATTGTTAAGTTAAATTTTGCAATGCGTGGAATTACTTCAAAGTATTAATTTATTAATGTAACTTTTTTAGATTGTTTTATTTGTATAGGGAGTTTGTCAACAAGAAAAAGACAATTGAACGTACAGAAGTTCATTTAATGAAATATTTAGCTGATTTTGTCATTGCCGTGTTAAATAGGACCTTGCATTAAAATGGAACTAAACTCCTGAAAATACTTACCTCCACCTTCCAACAGTGCAGCTGTTACATGTTTTACTGGCCGCTGTTATCTTCTCCCCTGGCTACTTCCAAGTCCTGGGTTTTTGGTCTCTTGACTGGCCGGTGGGGAATGATGTCATCCTGCACATGAGCACGGGAGGCAGTCATTCCAGCATAGCCAGAGTGAGCTGGGAATGCATGCTGAGCTGTGCATGCACAGCTCAGTGCACATTCAATAAAGGAGTGCAAACAGGCACTGCAGTAGAGACATAACTTGTCTCTTCTGCAATAAAGAGCTGCCTGCTTACAGTTTTCCAACTGTTAGGTAATTCCACTTTAAAATGCAGGGTCCAGCCATGTTGCAGCTTTGAACCCCCATACAAAATCCCTGGATAAAAATAAAATATACAAAACACACACAACCAGTAAAATAAAAAGTTACTTAGAGTCAAGACTGCTTAGAGGCAAATCTTCTACTAGAATTCAGAATACAGTTCCCCTCAAGAGACTAAGAGAAGGCCAGAGGTAGGGACCCAATGGAATAAGAACTACTTAGCTCCAATATCCCAATAGTACAGTCACCAGGATCTTGCAAAACAGTCAATACTCATGAGGCAAGGGAACAGCTGTGTCCATTCAGCTTTCTCCAGATGCCTCCTAGTGAGGTTTTGCAGACTGAATCCTTCAGGTGAAATATCGGGGTGTTGAAGATAACTGTAGGTGCAGGCTCCAAGCTCTTCCACAACTGGGACCTCAATGAACAGCATCTGAATTTAGCAAAACTTTCTACAAGGGGCAGCACAGTGGCTAAATGGTTAGCACTTCCGCCTGGCAGTACTAGGGTCATTGGTTTGAATCCCAGCCACAGCACCACTTGCCTGGAATTTGCATGTTCTCCCTGTGCCTGCGTGGGTTTCCTCCAGGTACACCGGTTTCCTGCCACACTCCAAAGACATGCTGGTAGGTTAATTGGATCTTGTCTAAATTGGTCCTAGTATGTGTATGTATGAATGTAAGTTAGGGACCTTAGATTGTACACCCCTTCAGGGTTAGGGGGACTGATGTGAATGTACAATATATATGTGTAAAGCGCTGCATAAATTGACGGCGCTATATAAGTACCTGAAATAAATAAATAATAATACAAGGGAGGCGTGTAGTCACCCCCACCCAGACAGGTGGAATTCCATCAACAGGAAGACCCCTCTGTTCTAGTGTTCACACAATTTATCAGTTTGACCAGATGCTTTGGAGGGCAGACCTGGGGAGAGATCTGGGATCTAATAGAGTGTACATCTCTCCATAAAGAGGACTTGTCAAGGCACATGCTATCACAAGACATGTTGTTCATCCCTTGTGATAGCAATAAAGTTGATAAAAAAAATAAAGATGCAGTGTAAAAAAAATAAAAAAATCCAGTGCTCATTCACAAATGCGAACACGCACATAAGTCCTGCACTCATAAGTAAACTGTAATTGCATACATGTAACGTAATGTCAGAGTGAGAGCAACAATTCTAGTGCCAGATCTCCAGTGTAACTCTAAACTGGTAACCGGTAAAGGCTTTTAAAGTGTCACCTATTGATAATTTAATGTACTGCAGTTTGGCGTAATTCCACAGGTGTGCATAATTTTAAAGCGTGACATGTTTGGTATCTATTTACTCGGTGTAACATCATCTTTTATTTTTACCATAAATTGGGTATTATATTGTATATTGGATATATATTCATTAACCTAACCTCTTCCCAACCGCTCTATAGCAGATATACAGATATACTCCTATTTTTGGGTAGGGGGCCCACAATTCGTGGCTGAGGCTGTCAATCTCCAGGTCCCTGTTGGCACCTGGTGATTACTGAGGATCTCCGATGGGTAGGAGGGCTGCTTTGTTTACTAACAGTCTTCCTCCCTGTCAGCTCGGGCACACTGCTCTGGATGGCTGTGCCCAGCACAGCCATCCAGAGCAGTGTGCTTACAGTGAAACACGAAACACGCTGCCCACCAGTAAAACACTCCCAGCAAACAGTTAATCCTTTGATCGCCCCTCATGTTAACCCCTTCCTGTCCAGTGACATTAGTACAGTGTCAGTGCTTTTTATTAGCACTGTTCACTGTATTGGTATCACTGGGGATATCAGTGACACCAGGTCAGCTCCCCCCAGTGTCAGAATGCCCACCGCAGTCCCACAGTCCCACAGTCCCACAGTCCCACTATAAGTCACTGATTGCCACTATTACTAGTAAAAAAAAAAATTAATTTTTTTAATTTTTTTACTGGACATGTTTAATAGCAAAAAGTAAAAAATATTGTTTTTTTCTGTAAATGCTATAACTTTCATGTAAACCGATTAATTTACACGTATTGGGATTTTATTTCAGCAAAGACATGTAGTAGAATACATTTTGGCCTAAATTTATGACGAAATTAGATTTTTACATTTTTTTTTTACTGGACATGTTTAATAGCAAGAAAGTCAAAAAAATATTATTTTCTCAAAATTGTCGGACTTTTTTTTTCATAGCACAAAAAATGTAAAATGCACAGGTGATCAAATGCCATCAAAAGAAAGCTCAATTTGTAGGAAAAAAAAGGCTGTAAATTTCATTTGGGTGCAGCGTTGTATGACCACACAATTGTCAGTTAAAGTAACGCCGCGCCATAATGCAAAAAATTGTCTGGTCAGGAAGGGGGGTAAATCCTCAGGAGGGCAAGTGACTAAACTGCATTTAAAAAAAAA